ATGTAGGGCGACCTCCCACTAGATGGAGTGACGACCTGATAAGAAATGCAGGAAGTCGATGGATGCAGGTGGCTCAGGACCGTGCTTTGTGGCGTTACTTGGGGGAGGCCTAGTTCAGCAGTGGACTTGTGAAGGGCTGTAATTATGATGATGATGATGAAATGAATTACGTGGTTTCTATCATCTAGATTTGTTAGATTAAAAATCGTATTGTAAATTTGATAGGATAAGGAAGGAGGACCTATATCCTCAAGCCTGTGCACAAGAATTGATTTTACATATTTCCAAGAGATACCTAGTATTTTAATAAATCTAAGTGAGTACCCCTTACACCCATATCCTCAAGCCTATGTACAAGGATTGATTTTCCATATTTCTAAGAGATTCTCCTAAGCGGCAGACTTGCATTGTTATTGCTACTCCCTCCCCCGCTTCTCAGAGGGTAACCCTTTCTTTGCTTCTGGACGCAAAAAACCGGCGAATTGCATTCTCCGCAAAGAGCTTAAGATAAAATTTCTTGGGAAGTTCTGGTGGATAAAATAATAATTAATCGAGTTCCAGACACTAACCTGGCTCAATCAATCAGTCTATACAAGGTGGTTTCTTTTCTGTCAAGGCTGCAAAGTCTCTTCATCATCATCAATCTGTGGCAGTCCACTGGTGGACTTAGGCCTCTCCCACGGCACGCCACTTAGCTCGATCTTTGGCTACACGCATGCAGTTGCTGCCAGCCGCTTTGCGCAGATCTTCGCTCGCTTAAACGCGGTCTCCAGTCTATGACACGCCTACTCCAACGGTTACCGCTACTGCAATACATGTGACCAGCCCATTGCCACTTCAGTCTGAAAATATGGAAGGCTACTTCGGTGACCTTGGTTCTCCGGCGGATTTCTTTATTACGATCTTATCCACCAGAGAAACTCCGAGCATAGCTCTTTCCATCGCCCGCTGGGTGACTTAGTTTGTGGAGTAGTCACACCATTAGTGTAAACGCTTCGGCATCATATATGAGTACAGGCAGGACGTACTGGTCGAAGACTTTCGTATTTAAGCTTTGAGGTATGGTATAAGACCTGACGATGCTTCCCGAATGCTATCCAGCCAAACTGAATCCGCCTATCCGCTTCTTTCTCGAAGTTTAGAATTAATCTAGTATGACATGACTGTTAAACTTGACTTTCATTTTATTTAAATTCAAACATAGTCCGACACGTTGGAATGATTTCATTGCCAAGGAGTCTGCATCTATAGAATTCCTTATTTGAAGTGAGTTGTTGGAATCCATTGGCTGCAGTAGTCACTTGCAATCTTGTGGATTGAGAGTTGGTTTGTTACTTATATTTTATTTAGATTTTAGATTATTACTCGCGAAAATAATTATTTTTCTAACAGTATGTTAAGGTGCGACTGGGGTGACCCCTTGTGCCACCCTAAAGCCGCGTACATTACAATGATATAAGATATAATAATGAAAGAATTGAATAATTTATTTTAAAAATTCAAAAATTATAAATCGACAGGTCGACGGGATAATCCCAAAGAACCAAGTTCACATAGACATTCAGACCCGAGACGATTATTCGCAGATCATACAAATACTTGTTTGGAGTGGAATTCGAACCCGTGAACCTCTTAGTGGTTGCACAAAAGACTTACAAAGGTATAGTATGTGCCAAATCGATTGAGAAAAACGGACAATGAACTCGGATATGAGCTGAGTGTCAAAGGGCGTAACATACAAAATCTCATTGATTAAAACTACTTTTAAGGATTTTATCGAGTTTAATTTTACTTTTATTTTTATTTTTAATTCCCGACGTTTCGGGTGCTCTCCAGCACCCAGGGTTAAACCCGGTTAAAAGGTTAAACCCGTGAGGGTTAAACCCGGAGTACCTTCAGCTTTTTTAATTATTGTTTATGGTACTTAAAAATAAAAATGTGAATTAAAAATAAAAATAATTAAAAGTAAAATTAAACGCGATAAAATCCGTAAAAGTAGTTTTAATCAATGTGTAGTGTTCGCGTAAATATAAGAAATCTTTACAAAATCTCAATTTAGATGTGATAACTGATAACAATATATAATATTGATATTTTTCACACTTCTAGGTCAGCACACATTTTTTTTGTTTCTTAAATAATATTGTTTGTGATTCCTATAAACATCGTATAATCTTACGGTACATCGCGAAAAATATTTTATATTTTATATTTCAATTTATGGTAAGTAACGCAGCAATTCATTTAATAACAGTGTCATATTAAAAAAAAACATTTGTAGCAATACAATCACCATTTTGAGCTTTTACAAATTCATCCCTTCAAAATAAACAAAACGCGCGTTACGTCAGTTCGTTTTAAAAGAAACGTGACAATAGCAGACAGAGATTCGTCACCTTTTTTGGGCCGGTCCTTATATAATATTCGGTTCTTATATAATATTGAAAATAAAGTTTTATCTTTTGAATAAGTACGTACTTATTCGGTGTCGTTATCACTCGAATCTTTATAAGTGTTATAAATTAATGGTTCTTGTTGTTAAATGAATAAAGTATTTTATAACAATAGATGATTTTTCCTCTACAGCGATCTTTTAAATAACTTTTTAATCATCATCATCATCATCATTACAGCCCTTCACAAGTCCACTGCTGAACATAGGCCTCCCCCAAGTAATGCCACAAAGCACGGTCCTGAGCCACCTGCATCCATCGACTTCCTGCATGTCTTACCAGGTCGTCACTCCATCTAGTGGGGGGTCGCCCTACACTACGCCTACCGGTACGAGGCTGCCACTCGAGAACCTTTGTTCCCCATCGGTTATCGGTTCTTCGAGCTATATGGCCGGCCCATTGCCACTTCAGCTTACTAATCCGTTGGGCTATGTCGGTCACTCTGGTTTTACTGCGGATATCCTCATTTCTGAGTCTATCACGCAGAGAAACTCCGAGCATAGCCCTCTCCATAGCTCGCTGAGCGACCTTAAGCGTCCTCATACGGCCAGCAGTGAAGGACCACGTCTCAGATCCGTAAGTCATCACTGGCAACACGCACTGGTTGTACAATCTAGTTTTTAGAGATTGAGGTATACCTGACGAAAAGATATGCCGTAATTTCCCGAACGCTGCCCAGCCGAGTTGAATCCGTCGATTGACCTCTCGGTCGAAGTTGGACTTACCTAGTCGGACTATTTGTCCCAGGTAAACGTATTCGTCAACAACTTCGAGCATAGTGCTCCCAACAACTACCGGCATAGGTGTGACATGGACATTGAACATGATCTTTGTTTTGTCCATGTTCATCTTAAGACCTATCCGTTGGGAGGCACTATTGAGGTCATTGAGCATAGTGCTTAAGTCCTCCAGCGATTCTGCCATAAGGACTATATCGTCGGCAAATCGAAGGTGAGTGATGTACTCGCCATTGATGTCAATACCGTATCCTTTCCAGTCCAGTAGCTTGAAAACGTCTTCCAATGCAGCGGTGAAGAGTTTCGGGGATATAACGTCACCCTGTCTTACACCTCTCTGCAGTTGGATAGGTTTCGAGCTCTGGTTCTGTACTCGGATAGCCATCGTAGCCCTACTGTACAAACACTTCAGCACTTCGATATACCGACAGTCAACTTGGCACCGCTGAAGGGACTGTAGCACCGCCCAAATTTCGACGGAATCAAAGGCTTTCTCATAGTCCACATACGCCAGGCAAAGTGGCAGATTGTACTCTTCAGTCTTCTGTACAATCTGCCGCAGGGTATGTATGTGGTCTATGGTACTGAAGCCTTTTCGGAAACCGGCTTGTTCGGGAGGTTTTTAATAATAATTAATAAATATATATTATATCAATCATTATAAAAAATAATTAAATAAAATAATTATAAATAAAAAAGTACTACATATAAAATGTGCCTATATATTGAAGGTTTGTAACCCCTGGTTAAACGAACGAAAGGTCATTGTCCGTTTTTCTCAATCGATTTGGTACATGCTATACGGGCACTTATATAACGTGCGGGTTGTCGAGTCTTAGTGACTAGCTCGAGGGCATTCAATGTCGAATGAAATGTCCACCGGCGAAATACGAATGCATTAAGTCTATATATAAAAAATATATCTATTAACTCCTCCATGATCACCATGTTATAAGTCTGTTCGCTAAGATACGGTAGCCTTTGTGTCGTGCCGCATCCCACCAAAGGCGCCACCGCGACATCAAATTTCGCCGCGTTCGTCGTACAACCGTAGTAGAATTTAGCATTTTAAAACGAAGCGACGCTACATAGTGAAAGATTCTTTCTTTATTACTACATATAATAAAATAATATAATAAAATAGTATTCTAATTTACTATTATTTTACTATTTTAGAATAGAAAAACATTTATTTAACAAACAATAAAAAAATAAAATAAAATGATAAGTGCGCTCACGGGTGTATGGACACTATCTTAGTGAACTACACTTTGGTTACATTCTAAAAGAAAGATAATTTTTATCCTGTCTAATAATAATCTTTACTGATCAGACATTTTATTTTTTGATGAATACTATTACAGCCTATTAAAGGTCCACTGCTGAACTACAGATTACTTCATAGAGCGGATATTTGCCATAGTTACCACGCCTGCCAAGCAGCTTGGCAACAGCAGCTGCCCTTCTCTTGGGTTTGTTCCCTTTCCCGCCTCTTACGACACACATGTGAGGATATGGGGTGGTGGGTGTTCTTACACTACCACTACACGGGTAAATTTTTGATGCTTCTATGCTCATTATTAATATTACTCAATTTCAAATAATATAAAAATCATAGAACGGTGAATATTTTTTTATTGATGTCAAAGTGTTTACAAATCTCAAAATACATTCCAATAAGACTCCAGAGAGAAGCCATGCTTAAAATATTTCTTACACTTTCTTATAAATTGCCTTTAAGTGCTCGCTCATTGGTGTATCATCAGTCTTCATAAACAAAACTATCTCTAAAGTGTCCGGAGACAATAACCTTATCTCTCGTTTGAAGCTTTGGACATGAGGTGGTTTGGCAAAAGATGTCCTAGTAACATTAACAGTTTGCAGTTTTATTTCTTTCTTGTCAGCATCAAAGTGACCCTCCTCAATGGTTGAAAGTCCAAAATTATGACTCAAAATGAAAGTCAGTTGATTAGTCCCAGGGTTTATTCTGAGGAAGCCTCTCTCTTGGTGCATAGGTGTTCCGGTTTCTGGGTGCCGTGACATTGATACATAGTTAAACATTGGCTGACCTGGAATTATACAATTTTTATTTATTTATTTAATTATCGGCGCTTGCGTATAGTGGACCAAAACAAATTAATCCACCACTAAAAAGAAGCTTCAGCGAAACCAGAGGCTGGCATGTATGGCTGCCACAGGCTACATAAGGACTACACCAACAGCAGCCTTAGAGGCTATGCTGGCACTAGCCCCATATCACCTCATCATCATCATCATTACAGCCCTTCACAAGTCCACTGCTAAACATAGGCCTCCCCCTAATGCCACAAAGCATGATCCTGAGCCACCTGCATCCATCGACTTCCTGCATGTCTTACCAGGTCGTCACTCCATCTAGTGGGGGGTCGCCCTACACTACGCCTACCGGTACGAGGCTGCCACTCGAAAACCTTTCTTGCCCATCGGTTATCGGTTCTTCGAGCTATATGGCCGGCCCATTGCCACTTCAGCTTACTAATCCGTTGGGCTATGTCGGTCACTCTGGTTTTACTGCGGATATCCTCATTTCTGAGTCTATCATTCAGAGAAACTCCGAGCGTAGCCCTCTCCATAGCTCGCTGAGCGTCCTCATATGGCCAGCAGTGAAGGACCACGTATCACCTACACAAAGACAATATCACCTACACAAACAGAAGCGACTTTAGCTACTGTTAGACTCAAGACCCTAAGTCTTTGGAGTAAGAGTAGAGTAAAGGATATCCAAACCCTCGTTTCATCTACAAAATAAATGATGTACCTCCAGAAGAAGTCAAAGTACAAAAAGAATTAGGCGTGTATATAAGTAACAATCTAAAATAGGAACATCACAATACAGTGATAACTAAAAAAGCAAATAGTTTAATTAACCTTATTAGTAAAAAAATCTAATGGCATTTCACACCAGAAATGATGCTAAAAATGTGTAAAACACATCTTAAACCAATTTTGGAATATGTATTCCAAATCTGGAGTCCCTATTTCAAAGGGATATTGAGTTACTGGCGAATGTTCAATGCAGATTTTCAAAAGTTCCTAAGGAATGAAAAACATACCTTATGAGGAAAGACTGAAAATACTTAAACTAATGACTCTGAAACATTGCACAGAACGAGGAGACTTCATAGAAACATAATGTAAAATTATACATGGACACAATGATCCGGAAAATTTTGACAACTATTATTCCAGTACTCAAACAAGTCATTTCAGGGGCATCTCCTCAAATTCAAAAAAAGCCGTGTCACATAATAACTCACACAAGGACTTTTTTTAGTCAGAGAGTGAAGCATGGAACAAGCTGCCATCAGAAGTGATATCAGCACAAACCATATACCAATTGAAGAAGAGATTGAATAAACAACTCAATTATTCCCGTAATTTCAAAAATATTTGAGAAATATACTATATATATATATATATATATATATATATATATATATATATATATATATATATATATATATATATATATATATATATATAGAGTATAAATTTATTGGAAAATAAAACATTTTGTGTAAGGAAAAGAAAGGATATAGACCACATAGGACAATCAATATGGCCCTGTATGACTTTATATACAATGTTTTAACAATGTCAAATTTTGCAATATGATGAAGGCATTTGATTACATAATATATTATGCTACTATTAAAAAAAAAACTTGAAGCATTAGAGGCAATGTTCTTAATCTAATGTAATCATACTTAAAAATAAAATAAATATAACTGAAATTAATCAAAATAATATGGGAAATAAGAAGAAAGAGATATTTCGATCGTCAGAGTGTTAAGTTATACTTGGAGTACAACAGGGGTGTGTGCTGGGTCCTTTTGTATTTATATTGTACATAAATGGCTTATCTAAATGCATTGAGCAACCAGTAACAATGTTTGCAGATAATAGCGCCATGGCAATACCATGTAAATGTGTAGAGACCTATGAAAGTGACATTAATAACTCCTTAAAAATATATACTGGTTAATCTAAAACAATTTAAAAATAAACTTGAATAAAACAAAAGTTATACATTTCAGTCAACAGATTCCTAGCATGAACCTTAATGTACACTACGATAATGAGTTGAGTTACAAGTTGAAACTACAAAATTTCTGAGTCTTGAAATAGATAAAAATCTTAACTAAAAAGCACACATTAATACTTTATGTAAGTAAATCCACAAATTTTCTTACATAAAGTATTATCGTGTGCTTACTATGGCTTACCAGAATCCCACCTCCGATATTGAATAATATTTTGGGGTAACTCAACTGAAAAAGAAGTAGCGTTCTAGGCTCAAAAAAGATGCATAAGGACAATATTTAAGCACTGGAAGTGGCTGTGTTTGTCAAGGTACATCCAAAACATTTTAAATACCTTGCCGATGTACTTTCATGTAATAAATGTGACACTACTACTTTGTGTCATCAGTCCGCTAAGACAGCACTAATGTGCAAGTGTCTACTGCATGGCTTCGGTCGTATATAATAAAATACTTAAAAGGTGGAGAGAATTGCCACTATCAATATTTAAAAAAAGGTTTCGAAGCTTTCTTGACAGTCGAAGCATACTATAGCATAACGGAATTCTTGACTGAAAATTTTTTTCTTTTGAGATAAAGACTGTAATGTTAAAATCAGAATTGTGTTTAGTCTTGTGTTTAGTGGATTAGTTTATAGTTCTGTATTTTTTGCATGCCTACAGGTAAAATATGATTGAACTCACTACCTATATGCATGTACCTATATGCATGCATGTACTGTACAGAGATTTGCAAAATAAAATATCTTTTATCAACTGAAATAGAATAATTACAGATTTGAAACCAGGATACAGGCTTATATCAGTTGTTCAAACTAGCCTGTTAAATAATAATAATAACAGGTGGTTGATTTGTGATGAACTTTTCCCAGGATGCTGAAGGCTTTATGATTGCTATATAGGATCAAGTAATTACACAATAATACATTCAGAAAATGTTATCCAGAAAGTATTCAACACATAACAAAACACAGACATGATCAAGTTGAAAATATTATTCATAAAAACTAGCCCACTAAAAGAACCTAATAAATTCAATTGAACCCTATTATAAATATAACCCAGAGTGTATTAGAGAATCCCAATACACAGATGTTCTTTGAATGCGGTATCCTCACAGACTGAACTATTCACTATAACAGGGCATTATTTAATAATATTAACAAAACTGGATACCTTATAGATATAGCAGTCCCCAATATACACAATCTACAAACTACAATTGCAGTAAAACTACCTAAATATGAACTTAAAGATGAAATAACCCGACTGGCATCCTCAAAAAGTAATTATAGTGCCTATTGTACTATCAGCAACCGAAGCAATTTTACCAATCTATAAAAATTAAAATCCCTAAATTTACCAACCAACACCTAAAAACTTGTACAGAAAGCTGTAACATAAAATACATACAGAATGGATAAGAAGTTCCTGCACACTGAAGAACAGATCACACCAATGCTTAGGCAAATCACCCCACAACAAGTGTGAAAGAATCACTAAAAGCAATCTCTTCCAGACAACCTTTGGACAAGATTGCAAGAAAACAATAAAAACATGTGTGGTTTGGCAATAACAATAACATTATAGTAATTATAAATCATAAAATAATTATATAAATGGATATATAAGTAAATACTTAGATAAGATGAATACATAGATACTTAGGCATGTTTATTAACCCACTTGTTACTACTCCTTTATAAAGCCACTAATTGAATGATAACTGTAACCCCCAAATTTATATGTTCAATGTTGTATAAACAAAGATCGTCTTACATTACTGTCATCAGAAAGGGTCCATCTTTTATGTAAACCTACTATTTGTCACAGTGCATCCATTATTTTGAAGTTAAGACGTGTTTTAAATTAACAGTGTGATTGCTTTGCGACATGGCTTCAAAAAGGTAAGTTTTTTAAATATACTTATAAAGTTTTAAACACTACAACGTAGAATCCCGTAAAGAACTGTTATTTTAATATAAATGTAACATAAAATAAACTTGAATTTCACGGTTTTTCATGAAAATTATCCTATGTAAAAACCTGTGGTGTTACAACGCCGGTAGTAAAATTGACGACTATTTATTATTACTATTATGTTTCAGATCACTGATGAAACAACCTTTGAATCTAAACGACATAGTTGATGCATTACACAATATAGATTCTGATGACATTACAATTTTTCCATTGGACAATCCAAATAACGAAATAACAGATGAAGATTCTGGTGATGAAGAATTTGTGACATTACATAATCTCCCAGGTTTGGTTATTTCTTTTGAGCATATTACGAAATTCATTTCAGTCACTGAACTCACAATCAATTGTATAATGTATTCATTACTTTCAGGTTTCCAGCTAAGAGCTCCAGCAGAGATTATTTATGATGATACGTTTTCAGACACTGACGATTCTGAAAATGATTTGTCTTTGTCTGTGTTAACAAAAAGAATACGCAATGCCAATGAATGATAGCCAGAAGATTTGGAACAGATATCTTCTACTTCTTGCTCCACTCCATCTATAAGCTGTTCATCAAGGACCGTCACTCTTAGTGTAAGCAAAACCCAACAGTATATGTGGTGCAACAGGCACAATCCAAGTGAATTTACACAGTGGCAGGATCGTGAGGGCCCAAAAAATCTACAGTCACCTTTGTACTACTATGAGTGTATGGTAAATGATGAAGTAATCAAAATTATGGTACATTACTCTAATCTTTACGCAAGCCAAAGGAATGTCATCGCTAATATAACTACTTCAGAAATGAAGTGTTTTTTGGGTATACTTTTATACAGCTGTTATGTTGTGGTACCACGCAGGTATATGTATTGGGAGAAATCTTCTGATACTCACTTTGATGTTGTTTATAATGCCATGTCTAGGGATCGTTTTACAATGATAATGGAACACTTACATTGCTGTGACAACAATGTCATTTGTACAGATAGTGATAAATTTGCGAAACTTAGGTCTTTGTTTGATTTACTAAATAAAATTTTCTCAGACATGGCACCTTTTGAACAAAATTATAGCATTGACGAAGCTATGGTACCATACTATCGAGGCTATAGCTGCAAACAGTTTATATGCGGAAAACCAATCTGATGGGGGTATAAACTGTGGGTAGGTGCAACTAGGTCGGGGTATGTTAGCGACGACGAAGTGAATTCGAACATTTAATCTTAATTATTTCTTATCAGTGATTTAAAACTAAGTGATAGTATTTAATCTTAATTGTTTCCTATTCGTAAAATAAAGCTAAGTGTAAAGACTGATTAGTGCTGAAAACAGGAAAGTAAATTAAACACTTCTATTCTTATCTTAAAGTAACTTATATGAATCTATTTAATATTATTTAGGTCTGATTAGAACATTAGACGCAAGTATAAGCTTATTTTCTAGTAAGATTTCTTTTATCATAACTTTAAGAGCTATTAACATATAGGTGATTAATATAATTCTTTTTCCTTTAAAGTAATTCAAAAGAAACATTAATATGTCAATTAATCACTATATAATGTTATTTCATTATGAGAAAGATTTAAATTTCATGAAAAAATATTGTATAGATTCTTAAGCATTATTCCTGAAAAAAAGTGTTGTACATTCCTACCTCTTGGCGGCGCTACTTGTATGTTCGGCAAAGAATACTATGCTACTCCGGAGCTAAACCGTGAAGCGACCGCGAAGCTATTTTTATTTTTTATAAGTATAAAATAAAGGTTTATTGAATAATTTAGGTTTAGAATAATAGAAATAAGTTGTATCTATCGTTAGGAATAAATATAAATGTTGTAAGGCATGTTTTACCACGTTTATTAAGGAAATTGTAAATCTCTCTTAGAAAGGGTCATTCTGTGCTCTGATTGGTCAATAGATTCACTAATGCCGTGTGCGATTTTTTCTTAATTATGATTGGTTACAGCCGCTTATAAAAAAGGGGCGTTTTTTCGTGGTAAAACATTCCAAATCCGGCAATGTAATAATAAGGAATCAAGAAATAAAATAAGAAGAAACTCTCAAGAAGTGTTATTTATTGCTCATCTAACTGCTACTGTATGCTCTCCAGTTAACATCCCGCCAGCAAACCCGCTCTATTTTATCAACGCTCCCTTATACGAGCATTTACAGGGTATTTTTTTTGGTTTGACCCATACCATGGACATTCTTCAAATATCTCAGCATGCTATAAACAATTTGGATTAGGGGCAAGTGTAATTTTGAGCTTTGCTGATGTTTTACAATCATGCTACCCAAACACTCAATTTCATTTATTTTTTGATCTTTTTTTCTCCTATCTCTATAACTCTGTAAATGTGTAGAGAAATAAAGCTTTATTATTATTGTTATAACTTTATTTTCTTCTATCCCTCTTTTTCACGAATTGAGTAATAGAGGATTGCAAGCTACAGGAACTATTCGTGAGAATTGTACCTCTAGATGCCCACTACCCGAAAACAAGGTTTTTAAAAAAAACAGAAAGGGGCACATTCATCTGTAAGTCTAGTCAACCCAAGCTGATCTTAGTCTGCAAATGGAATGACAATAGTGTCGTAAGTGTCGCCTCTAATGCGGAAACAATTGAGCCGCTTCACAAAGTCAAGCAATTTTCTCAACAAATGAAAAGATATGTGTTTATTAATCAACCTGCTATCATAAAATCATACAACGAAAATATGGGTGGTGTCGATATAACTGACCAAAATATTGGCTTATACAGAACTTCGATCCGGGAAAAAAATGGTATTTTTCGTTATTTTGTCATAGCTTGGATATGGCTACCCACAATGCCTGGTTGTTGTTGTACAAAAGTGATGGTGGCAAATATGACCACTTAACTTTTCGTAGAGTAGTTGCCAGAGGATTATTGGAGACGTATAAAAGAACCGAAAAACGGGGACCTTGCCGTACTCCCAGCAATTATAGAGAAACCTCGCTATATGATCGCATTGGTCATCTAATTGAATATGAAGAATCTCAAAGGCACTGCACTATTTGTAAAAAAAACTATTTAATTTGTTGTAAATGTCAGCTGTATTTACACCCAAAAATATGTTTTATTTCCTATCATACCAAAGTTTAGATTCTTGGCAAATAAACCATTGTAAGCATATGTTTTGTGTTTTATTTAATTCCAAAAATGTTTTACTTTTAGTAGCCGATCTTACTACCGGGCGTTATAACGCCACAGTTAATTCTGTATATATATTTATATTTTTTATAGCATTGGGTGATAAACGAGCACACAGTCCACCTGATGGTAAGTGGATGCTGTGGCTCATAGACATCCACATTTATCCTCAATTAAGAATCAAAATGCAAATGCCTTGTCATCCCTGAGGACTAAGATGGAATGCCTCGATTCCAGTAAAAAAGGTATGCGGTTCTCTACACTCACCATACGAAACACAGCAGCATTAAGCAGCTATTTTACGCTGGTATTCTGTGAGGTCCTTCCCCAGTCAAGCCAACCCATTCTACAACCATTATAGCTGAAGCGTGACTCTAACATGTATAAATGGCCAATGGAAATATAATGTCACACTTATAATGGTTATAATTATAAAACTAAAAGGTTATTTCTTAAGGTTTATTCTTTCCCAGTTCAGCTTCAATAACAAAAAATATTAACAAATTTGCATCTTTATGAACTTATAATATAATAAATAGTTAATATAACGTTACGTTTAATTTCTATATTTATGAAATAAAATAAGAAGTACACATAGCAAAACTTACCGACACATAAGAACTCTAGTTCTTCGCGGTATTCGAACTCTTTCAAATTCGGAAATGATCCATGACCGTGTTCTGTAACCCAACTGCCGGCAAGCCAGGATATAGGTTTTATGGCTTCGTGAATGTTATTTTCGTTATCCATTTTAAACATTCAAATGAATTAAGAATATAAAATAGCTAAGCCGCTATGCTAGTGGAGCTAACTTGTTTTTAGATCATATTAGACAAACCAACAAAAACAAAGTAAAAATTACACTAATATTTCTAAGCAATTAAAACTATTAGGAATTAATGAAATAAATAATATTTATTTTGATTTGAACAATTGCTTCTTTTCAATATTTGCTTTTTTCACTTTTAATTTTGATAGAAAAAATTAATATGTTACAAGTTTTGAATTTTTGATTTTCCGTAGTCCGTAGGTACCACAGACTACTATGGTAGGTACTAGGTATCTATGCATAGATTACTGCTTTCAGTTTATACAAAGGTACTCTGTGATTACTGCGTATATATTTTAAACTATATACTATTAGAGATCTATGTTTTTGATTTTGTACACACAGCACACACCGTAGACAGAGAAACCTATAGACACCGCCATAGCGTGTCGCAGAAAGAGACAAAAAAAATACGTCACCGTATTTAGGGTTACAAGTGTGAGGAAAAATTTACCCCACAACTAGCTATAAAATTAGAAATTAGTATGTGAAGTAAGCCTGAAAGGGAACACTGCTATTAACGATTATCATTGGTATGTATTGTAATTGATGGAGAGCTAAGTTGACTGTATTTGACTAATTATTTATTATAATTTACTTTTGTGAAGAAAGAAGAAACTAAAAAATTGTGATATCTATCTGAAAAATTAAACCATGGACAACAACAGAGATCAACAGTATTATTGCAGGTCTCAAATCAGATTCCGCCCCTGGCTGGGACAATATTTCAACCGGATTTCTCAAGATGGCTAAACAACTACTCGTCCCCATCCTCTGCCATTTTGTTAATATATGCTTTGAAAAGGGTGTCTTTCCGAAGCTGCTGAAGCAATCTATTGTAATACCGATTTACAAAAGTGGAGATAAGAAAGAAGTTGGTAATTATCGACCAATCTCCTTGCTGTCTGTGTTCTCAAAGATTTTGGAAAAGTTAGTTAACAATAGACTTATACAGTATCTCTCTAAATTTAAAATATTAACAGACTCTCAATTCGGATTTAGAAAGGGATGCTCTACGGAAGATACAGTTGCCGCGTTAAGTTCTCAAATTATAAATACCTTGGATAGCGGCAGAAAATGTCTTGCTGTCTTCCTGGATCTAAAAAAGGCCTTTGATACTGTATTAATCCCCATTCTTGTTAATAAATTAGAACAGAATGGTATCAGAGGTATACCTCTAAAACTTTTAAAGGATTACCTCTCTGATAGGACACAGATTGTAAGAATAGGTCAATACAGTAGTAGCTATACAAATGTTAATTATGGTGTACCGCAGGGAAGCGTACTCGGCCCTACGTTATTCCTAGTGTATATTAATAATCTGTGTAGTATGAGTGTGAATAGAGGGAAGAGTTTTCTCATACGTAGATGACACTGCGATATTATTTTGGGGAGACACTTGGGAAGAAGTGCAATTGATAGCGGAAAAACAATTAGCTAAGGTTGCTCGTTGGCTTGATAATAACTTACTTACTTTGAATGTTAATAAAACTCAATTCATATGTTTTTCTATAACTAGCCGATCACAGCCAAAAGATGATTTTAGACTTAAAATACATAAATGTTCCTTCCAGCGGTAACTGTACGTGTACATCTATTGAAAAAGTTTCATACATAAAGTATCTGGGCGTTATGGTGGACCAACGACTTTCCTGGTACAAACATGTCGAATTAGTGTCTACTAGAATTCGAAAACTCACTTGGATATTTAAAACTTTAAGATATGTTGCTTGTCCAGACCTTTTAAATCAAATTTATGTAGCACTTGCTCAATCTATAATAATATATTGTATACCTATTTGGGGGGGGGGGGGGGTACTTATAAAAGTAAATTTATTGAAGCTGAGAGAGCTCAAAGATGTTTATTGAAAGTTATACATTTTAAGCCATATAGGTTCCCCAGTAGCATTTTGTATTCATCTTGTGGGGTGATTTCGGTGAGGCAGTTGTACATATTACTCACTTTGTTAAAAAAACATAAGTCTTTGTCTTTTAATCCTACTTACGGTAGTAAAAGAAGAAATTATAGTGTAGTTCCTATACGCAGTACGAAAACCAACTTTGCGAAAAATCAATATGAAAAACGATCAGAACACTTATATAATCAAATTAACAAAATATTGCAAATATATCCTTTAAAGACATACGATTGTAAGAAAAAAATAATGCAGTGCCTTAAGACACTTAATTACGATCAAACTGAAGCCTTATTAGAATCTATCCTATAAATGCATTCACTCACTGTCTTTTTCTCATACGTACACACGTACATACCCACACAAACACACACACACACACACACACACACACACACACACACACACCACACACTCACACACACACACACACACACACACACACACACACACACACACACTGTTTCTCTTATGTTAATTGTACTTAGTTAAGGGAGGGCGAAGTCCTTCTATCACAAGTATCTTTATACTTAAAAGAAGTCCTCAAACTCGTACTAATTTTAAGAAAATGTTGGAAACAATAAACTTTCATTTCATTTCATTTATCAGACTAATAAACTTAAAGAAACTATTGTGTAAATGAATGAAAGCTAATTGGACTGTAATTATTTCGGTTGTGTTTAAATCTTGAAGAAAGAAAATACTGAACTAACTGTTACCAGTCCTCTGTCACTCTTGCTACCTGCGTGAAATAAATTACCTACAATCGCGAGGCATACAGGTCAGGCCTCTGTCACTCTTGCAACCGGCATGAAATAATTACCTAAAAGCGCGATTTGGATGAATTTGGGTGTAATACACAGTCGGGGCTAGCGCGTTGTAGGCGATTGATGTATTTTTAACGCTGTTTACGTAAATAGTTTTTTGTAAACACTTTACTACTATTACTATTTTTTCAGCGTTTAGTATTCAATTGTAGGATAAAATAGTTCAAAAAAATTAATGTGATTTTAAAATATGTAATGTGTATGGCAAAACTTCGAACCTACTATAATTGTTGCGTACGACGACTTTCAAATAATTTGTGGGTACGATACGCGCGCCACCTAGTGTAAGTTAATTGTACTATACCTATAACCTTCACGCAAGTACAAGCAAAAAATTTACAAAGTTTTAGCGCAATCAGTTAAATAATGTGGCAGACGGCGCGTAAAATACGAACAAACAAACATTAATTTTTTAGGGTTAAGTGCTCGTAGTTTTTATGTAACAGATTATATTTTAAACGACAGACAAAAAAGCGGCTACTGCAGCCCATGGGCATCTGCAACAAACATCAAGCACAACAGGCTACAAATTCGTTGTCACCTCTGAGGACTAAGATGGAATTCCTCACAGCCTGTAAATATACCGGCTCTCTATCTCCTCCAGACCGGAACACAGTAGGGCCAGTACTGTTATTTGGTGACAGAAATCAATAAGACAGTGGTTTGCAGCTAGACGGAATTGTAGGCGGAGAAGGTCTTACATTAATTTTATTCAGAACCCCGCGACTTCACCCGCCTGGATTTTTTTGCGCGGAACCCCTAAAATAAAAATAGCCTAAGTTACTCCTTATATCAACAAATTTCCGTCCTTATAACATCAAGTTCCATCCAAATCGGTTCAAAGGTTTTTACGTGATGCGTGTTCAGACAGACGTCGTGTTAGAGTTTTATTTTAGTATAGAAGATAGATATATATACACATATAACATAAACACTCACGCCTGTCACCCAGAGGGGTAGGCAGTGACTACGGACTTCCATTTGGCACGGTCCTGACATGTCTCTCTCGCCTTCTTTACATCCAAATATCTACGAGTACACGCTCGTTGGTCAAGAGTACTTCTAATGTATCTTTTCAAAATATCGCCAATTTAGTCGATACTTTCGTCTAGGGCGTCCCTTACCGACTCTGAAGTTCACATCTGCCATATAAATTTGCTTTGTCACTCTTTCCTCCAGTGGGGAGCCGTGATTGCTCAGTGGTTAACGCTCGCTGTAAACATAACAGAACGCGAGTAACCCGGGTTCGATCCCTGCCGGCACCAATGAAATTGTTAATTGCAATTTTAAGTGCTGATTTACCACGTTCTCGGCGGTGAAGAAAACATCGTGAGGAAACCTGCATGTCTGAGGAATAAGAAAAAAAATATTTCGAAGACATGTGAAGTTCGTCAACACGCATTTGGGCAGCGCGGCGGACACTTCCTTGCCCTAAACCCTCTCAGAAATGAGGGGAGGCCTGAGCCCAGCAGTGGGACGTATATAGGCTGTAACTTTACTTTACTTTACTACTCTTTCCTCATTCATTCTTTCTACATGACCAAACCATCAAAGCATTCATTTCTTAATCTTGGTCACAACATTATCATCTGATGATGTTGATGAGATAGATATAGTATAATTTGTTATTCTCGTTATATTTCTCTTATCAATTAGTAGAGGTTTATTGATTTTTTTTCAATTATGTATAATTTTTTAAGTTACCTAAGGATAATGAAAGGTATATTAATTTCATTTTTTTGTCAAATAAATAAATATAGCAAAAAGAATTAAGTAATAATTTAAATACAGAAGTAACCTAAGTACTTTATTACAAAACTTAGTTGAAATTTACGTAGGTGACGTATGAAATTTACTTAGGTAAATTGAAGTAGGCAACTTACATGTCTTTTGTAATTAAAATATTTTAAGTTATCACAAAGCACTGAAATTAAAACTTTGTTTACAAGATTTTTAACTAATTAGAATACAATCACATTTCATTTAGGAATCGTATTTCAGGTTCATTTGTTGTTTACACTACCTACCTATTTCTTTCGAGCGATTTATTAAATCGCAATTCAAAAATCAATACAGAACTGTCAGAACCATCATAAATATTGTAATTTAATATCTGTGCCGGACGGGCGAAACTCTCCGGAGTAAATGTTGTCGAAGATACTTCGCGAGTCGCTCACG